TCCCAAGCTCAATAGTTTAAAAATGAAAGCTGTGATTACGTTTATAAAGTAAAGCCCCCCCCCACTGTTAGCTAGAACATAGCAGTGTGAATGTTTGCATTTTGTACTTCTTCCCATAACTTAATCAAAACATGGAGAAAGTAATAAATTATAAATGACCTATTAACTGTTTAACTATTTCAATAATAGTTAAGCTCCTTGACTTAGGAATTTTGCCTGCACATAATTAATTGTTGAATGAAGGAGTTAACTGGCTGGTGGGTGAATGGCCAATGGCTGGATTTTGTAAGAAGACCCTCCTGGTCCCACAGAACTCAGTCAGCACTAAGAATTTCAAGTTCTCCAGCGAGGTATCACTTTTGGATGCCTGATCTGGAAAAAAAGAAATCATGTGACTGAAACTATCCATGTACTAATGAATAGGAAAAGACACGATTCAAAGGAAAACATTTGGATGTAGCACTCTGAAAGCCATATGCACATTATAACACTTATACTGATGCCAGTACCTGTGTGTCCTGGGGTTCCCCTGAAATGTGAGTACTGATTGTGGTGTTTCCTATGCTTTTACAGGCAGGAATGTGTCTTGAACAGTTCCCAGGACTGGTCCACACGTCTGTGTCTCCATATTGAAATCAATTTCCCTTGTGTAGATGGCCATAGCAATTCTTAAAAGCCTGCTTTTTTCTGGTGATATAATCATAACTTGGTGAAGGCAATTTTGGGAAGAAGAGAAGGAAGTGGAGGTAAAGGAAGATGAGAAAGAAGGAGGAAGCAGAGGAAAAGCATTCTTTTCTAAAACTACTGAGCTTAAGATGGCAATATTTTAAATAATACAAGCAATTGGAATTTTCGAAACTTTTTGTTTTGAAGGGTTTTTTTTTTCTCCAACATGACTTTTGGGGTAGAGAGAGTAATAGTATGAAATAAGCTCATTTCATTTGAGATCAGTCTGCACTAGTACATGAATGTGGTCAGCATTCATTTTCATTGTATTATGATGCATCCATTATTCACTTCATTGTTGAGCATTCCCCCAGATTCCCTTTTTGCCCACTGCCTTGTACTGAAGCAGCAACACAACTGCCTTCTATTCTGTCTTTGTCTCCTTGACAGCACCAGCACTTAGCTTTTTAATGTCTAGTGCTTACAAAGGACTAGAGGAGTAACACGAAGTTGTTACTCACCATAAAGGAGTAGCATGGAGTTGAAATCAGTGTTATCAGAACTTTTGGTTTTTGCAACGCATCTTCTGACCCAGCTACCCCTGAGGTCCAGGCTGTCACTTACCTCTGACTGACCCTGGAAAACACCTCAAGTTTTCCATCATCAAGACACAGAACACAGTGGACTTCCTTTTCACATCACACTCCATGTATCTTGAATCTTGGACCTTGCAAAATAACTTCTGTGAGTGCTGAGGAAGTTTACCACTCTATGAAAATATAGTGACTACTGAGGAGTTTACTTTTTAGCTGCCCAGTTATGTATTAAAGGCTAATTGCCTGACAATTCCCAGTTGTGCTGATAACCCACTACTGTTATGGGCTATTGGAATATATTGGGTTATTTTGCTGAATTCAGGTAATATTTGAATGGTGTCAAGTATGAAAAGGTCTTTTAAAGACTTCTCCAAATACAGCTTCTCTAACAGCAATGGAACTCTCTGACAAAACAAAACAAAACAAAAAAGAGGGATATAAATAAAGGAGATTTTGAAGTGAAAAAATATATATGTATATACAAAATAGTTAAGATAGATATACAGCTACTTTCTTTAAGATCAATGAGGAGAAAGGTTTCTACTAATATTGTTTAGACAAGACACCATGTCTGCATCTTGTCTTCTGAATAACAACTATGAAGAGAACAATATGCAATGTATGTGACTGTCCTACTAACCTGTTTTGAAACTGTTTCGTTGCTATTTTATTTTCTCATTAAAATGAATTAAAAAGCTAATTTTATTAATAATAATGGCAATAGCTACCATTTATACAAATGCCTATCACAATTGATGGCACAGTATTTATAGGATTATAATTAACATTGACCATGACCACTGGTTGATCAGTAATAACAGTGATCAGATGAGTTCATACTAGACTGCAGTGTTTTGGTTTTTGGTTTTGTCTTTTGCTATTGTCTTAAGGAAGCAAGTAGGTGGAATTGTAGTTACTCTAGCTCTAGGAGTTGATCTGGAGTTAATTAGTAACATACTTTTTGTTTTTTAAAAAAGCAAATTGTACATCTGCTATTGTGTATATGGGTCCGCCTATACATGTGTGTTTCTCCTGATTTTCAAAAGCAATTAAAAAGCACTGTAGACATTGTGGTTCATGGGAGGCTTTGGTGTCGACGTGCCTCACTTGAAATCCAGATTTGGGATGAACTGAGTCTGTGACTGCAGAGTAAGCAAATCACTTAACCTCTCTGACTCCTAATTTTCTCATTTGAATAAAAAGGGATAATTATAGCACCTAACTCAGAGGATTATGAGGATTAAATGACATAGTGAGTATCTATTGTGTACAGAGTAGCACTCAGCAATGAACATTGTTTTTTTTATTATGGCTGTTATTTTAAAATAATTGGAAAAATTTAACAAAGCAAAAAAGAAAAGGATCAAATTTAAGTTCATTTATATGACAGTAACATTAATAATGGCTTACATTCTATAGTTTTTTCTAATGAATCGAATGCTTAAGTACAGTCAATTTTTAGAATATTCATATTTATTAACTTGTAAGTAAAATTAAAATAATGCTAGAAGAGCTGATTGGGTAAATAAGGAGGGGCAGTTCCTTGGGATTGTTAGTCAGAATGTCCTAATATCAATACAAACAGGTGTAATTTGAATTTCTGATTATTTTTGTTATGTTCATCCTGTTAAACTGCATGCTTGGTAAAAGTAAGGATCTTTTTGTTACTGACTAATATGTCTTAAGCACATAGCTGAGAGCTTGTCACACAAGAGTGTTCAGTAATAAATGTGTATTGGACAAACACTCTGAATGAAACCAGCCTACACCCATCAAGAGATCACAAACTTGGTAACCAGTAGGCATCTGGCCCTTGGTTAAATGTGGATGAGAGGCCAAAAGTGAGGCCCTGTATGAGGCTCCTCTCAGATCTCATTTTCCTGTCCCTACGGTACAATCTTTGGCAGATATTTGATACCTGCAGTCTGATCATGACTCGGTGTCCTGAGCCAGAATCCACATTCTATAAACTAGCATGGGGCCTCTAACTCTATAAATCAGCTTAATAGCTCACCTCAGATGATAGAATCATTTGCAAGTTCTTAGGAATATTCTATCACATTTTTGAACCACCTAGAACAACAACTTCATGGATTATATTTTACATAATATAGCATTTAAATTATAAAGCCTTTTTCCTAGGAAATATGAAAGTTAAAAACCCAGGCTCTAGAGACATACCTTCTTAATTCAAATTTGGGATCGCAAGTTACTATGGCACTTAACCACACTTGCGTCACTTAATCGCATTGTGTTCTGTTTTGTCATGCATGAAATGTAAGTAGTAACACTCTTGTTATAGGATCAATATGTGGATTAAGTGAAGAAGAGTTGCAATCAAAGATTACCTGCTCTTCTGGTCATTATTAGAAGCAATAATTACCTGATTGAAAGCTTACTAGGTATTAGACATCAAATATTTATTATTTCAGTTTTGAAAACTCTGTAGGTCATTATTGTAACCCCATCTTATGAATCAATATATTGAGATGTAAAAAATTTTTAGTAATACTCTACAACCACAGGGCTAACATGCAGTAGAAAAGGGTCACATTTAAATACAGGTGTATCTGATATAATCTCTTATGGAGATATTTCCCTGAGCAGAATTTGAAGTACCTGCTTTCTCTTTGAAATTGCAGTTTCTGATGCCTGATCTTTAGCCTTCTGAGCCAAGCTCACTACCTCAAAAACCGTTTTTAAAGCATCCAAACCTTTAAGAACCCGTATATTGGTTTGATGGTCTATAGGTTCCAAGGACTCTTACAGACCTTTCTTAGGTTGTCCCATGGTTCACTTTACCAGTCTTTATGTGTTCCCTATTAGGGATAGAGCAAAATCAGCCAATTAAAAACTTAAATACAATTTCAAAACTGTAAGTGGGCAACCAATAACCCAAGTACATAGTTTAGATTTTATGGCGTGGGGATACTAAGGTTATGAAACCCTTTAAAATCTTTATTTTAGTTTTGTTTTTTGAAAGAGGACCTCACTGTGTAGTTCAGCTGTCAATGAACTTGCTTTTGTAGCCTAGCCTGACCTTGAACTCACAGTGATCTTCTTGCTTCAGTTCCCGAGTGCTGGGATTACAGGTGTGCACCACCACTTCCAGCCTAAAATCTTTATTACAAGAAAAAATTTTTTCCCTTGCAAAATTGAAGTGTGTAATCCTTCAGTATTTATTTTTTTAGCACTTGTGCATGCTGTAACCTAATGATGCTTCTCTCCCTGGAGTACAAATGCACTGACACCAGGAGCAAGGGAGCCTCCTGTATTGTGAGGAGACTGGGGGACTGCACCCTGGGGGACAGGATCTTTCCCACTGCAGAGACAGATATGAAATTTGAACCCCTTTCAGACAGCAGAAAAAGCAAGGGAAACTGAGAAGTAATCCATTTACAGATGTCAACACAGCCACTGTTTGCAGGCATGATTTGCTGTGCCACGTTTGACAGATTATTTTTATATCCTTGAGATTTATCTTGTTTTCATTGAAATATGCTATAAGATGTTCTGCTACCTTTTGCTAGGTGAATGAGTTGTGATGTTGGGTAAAAGCATCTTTCACAGACAGGAGACTACACTGCACTCAGAGCTAGTATGACCATGAACTGGTAGTATGGTAGTGATTTGTGCACGATACATAGTCAGGAAGCACATTAGAATGTTAGCTCTGATAGCATGGATTTGCACAGGAGTCAATGGGATGTTTGAAGATCTTATTTTCCTCTTTTGCAGGTTAATTGTGTATGGTTTTGTCAAGGCTATGATACATGCTGGCCAGCTGAAAACAGGAGACTTTCATTTCACTGACTGCTTATTTTTTGGGTCACTGATGTCAGCTACGGATCCAGGTAATGGCTCAAATAACCCAATCCCTGCTTTATAAGTAGTAAAGCATTTAGGCCATGTGGGGTAGCATGTTCTTTTAAGCTCAGTATTCTGAAGGCTGAGACAGGAGGATTTCCATAAGCTCAAGGCCAGCCTGGGCTACATAGTAAGACTCTGCTTCAAAACTCCAGGGAAAAAAATGCTAGGTATTTAGCTCAGTGTGAAGGCCCTCTGTTCAATACTCTGTGCTACTGCCAAAGGGTAAAGCATCTAAATTGAAGGTTTCTCCAAAAGCCCTCATCTCAGCCTTCCTACTAATAATTGTTTATTCCTCTTCACATGCAACTGACGTATCTGTTGGTATTTTTCTAAGGAAAGAAAAGGAAAAAAATAGGTGAATATTTAGGTAACACTTGAGAAATTAATAAGAAAACAATTTTTGTACTGGAAGAGACTGGTTAAAGTCATTATATTTATTTCTCTAGAACTCATAGCCTATGAGTCATGCTCTTTAATTGTTCTCTACTCAGCATCTCTTCCTTCAAAATTTTGAATTAAAAGTTTTAAAATACTTTTAAACACAGTTGACTGTGGAACTTCTGAAGGCCATTCAAAGTAGGCCATATAGTAAAAAGAATGTCATATACTCTTCACCAATTACCAAATATGCTTAAGTTTAATTTATACTCCTCAACCCACTACTCATCATGATTGCGTTTGGTTAAAGCAAATGCTATGCAGTATATTAATAGGCAAATACACTGAAAAATTGTCATTTATAGATAGAAACTAAAAATATTCAAAAGCATGATTTAACAATTTCAAGGTCAATGTTTGAATACAACTGTCTTGCTATTAGCATTGATAGTTTGTGTAGCCATTTGTATAAAGTAGGATCCAAGCAAAGATTGCACATCACAGTTGATTGCTGAGACTCTTGAGTTTCTTTTAACCATTACGGTCCTTTTCCTTTTCTATGTCATTTATTTATTTAAAATTTTATTTGCATTTATTTTATGCTTAATTTATTCCCATGCCATAAGTTTTTGTTTCTTCAGTTTCTTCTGGGATATCTTTTTCTTCTGTGCAACTTCCTCCTCTGCTTTGGGAACAATTTGTTCCTTTTCAGTAAGGATCATCTCAATATGGCAGGGAGAGCTCAAGTATGGATTAATCCGGCCATGAGCTCTGTAAGTATGGCAGCGCATCTTGGGTGCTCTGTTCACCTGGATATGTTCAATAACCAGAGAATCTACATCTAAACCCTTAAGTTCAGCATTATTCTCTGCATTTTTAAACATGTGCAGCAAAAATTCAGCACTCTTTTTGGGCCATCGACCCTGTGTCCAGCCCTGCTGTTTGGCCAGGGCACACCTACCAACTCTACCACCGTAATGCCAGAATGGTACACACTGCTTCTTTAATGTGACATCCTTGAGATACTTGGTGGCCTTTCAGATATGCATACCCTTGATGGCCTGAATAGTTTCATGTGTGTTCTTAAAGTGAACGCGAAGATTTGAGCCTCTTGATTTACATGATTTTGTGAGGTTTTCCTGGTCAAGAGAGTAGCGAACCATTTTCACAGGTCATCCAAGGCCGCTCACAGGAAGAGTTCTATGTCATTTATTGTTTAAAAAGAAGAAGCAATTTTCTTGTGGTTGAATTTGAACATGGTCCCATAAAGCGTTCTGGTACTTCCCATATTTCTTGTAAGCTAATGTTTAGAGTAGAGGCTTAATCAGATTCAGGTTCACCGTTTCTTGTCAAAATTACTCTATACTGTGAACTTCCTTTTGCAGTGTTTAGTGTCTGAGCTGTGAATCAGCTGTGAATCAGCATTAAGGAATTGCTACTCTAGCAAAGATCACCAGAACCCACCTGTAGGAGAATGAGATGGGTTTATTACATTCTATGATGAGAGCAAATACTCACAGTGAAGAACCATGTGTTGTGTTGAAGGTGGTTAAGCAGCACTTACTATAGCGCTTGCATTCGTGCTTGTTATCTTAGGAGTCAGGGCTTTGCCTTGGAATAGATGATATTAGGAAGTGCCAGCTAGTCCATGACTGGCAACTTGAGTAAGTCTTTCCTAGAAGAAGGAAACACTAGACTAAGCCTAAAATTATAACTGGTCAAGAAATAGTGGTCCATCCTAATAGTTAGGATAGGCAGTTGTTTGGTCAGTTTTGCAGTTTGGACATAGTCATATGTGTTTAGGCAAGCTTAGGGAGTAGTTTTCTTTTTATCTGGGCCCATCATAGACACAGAATGACTCTGCTTGTTCATTGTTGATGTTCAATAGAATACAAGGTCTACCTCACAGTACCAGGCCGACTCTTGAATGTCGGCAATCACCCAACCCTGCGCTTTCTTCCCAATTTTTTATTTTTACTTTTTCATTAGCACCTGTTTGCAATACATAATCTGACCCTTAATGTTGGTGCCACATGGTGACTTGTTATAAACACTCTCAGTCTCAACCCCAGACTTAGTAAGACAGAATTTAACAGTATCCCTAAGTAATTCATAGGTACAGTAAAGTCTGAGAAACTCCATATTTTAGAGTTTCTCATTTCTCCTAATGGTATTAGGACCTTTTTGCTAGCAACTGCTGCTTTCACTATTTATTAAGAATTACAAATGAATGGTATGCAAACTATGTCTGCATTTTGCATTTATTAGCTATTACTCTCCTTAAGGAAGTAGTTTTCCAGTTCCATTATTTAAGTATTCATCTTACAGAATAAGCAAACTAACAAACAAAACTGAGACAAATGATTGATTCTTTTCCTTTATTTATCAATTTGCAAGATGATGTGTTGTTTCCCTAAAATCTTCCATGTTACCACCAAGGTAAAGTTTTTTAAATTATCTTTGTGAATATATAGATTTAACATTGTTGATATTTTTCAAGCTACTATTGTGATTATTATTTTTTTAATTTTTAAAAATCTTTTATTCATTTGGTACAGAGTCTCCCCACAGAGCTTGGTCGTGTGGTGATCCTTCTGTCTCAGCCTCCCCAATGCTGGGATCACAGGTTTACACCACCATACCTGGTTTCAGTGGCTGGCACCATGAGCCTGGGGTTCCAGGGCTGGCATGGCATGCGGTAGCAGGGATTGAACCTGGGTCATTGCACTAGACAGGCAAGGATTAGACCACCAAGCTATTTCCCCAGTATGGTTGGCTGTCAATTCTAAACCATTTTTTTTCTTTTTTTCTGCATAAATTTATTGAGAAACAAATAGCAATGAGACAGTTTCAAACCACATTGGTAGGACAGTTTCAATAATTAACACACTGTATACATCCTTCCTAGTGATTAATTGCTGTACAAGATGCGGACATGATATCTTATTTACAAATACCATTAGAACAAATCCCTCTATTCATTAAGAGAATGAAACTATATATCTATCGTAACCATTTTGAATACACAGATACAAAATGGACATTCATCTGTGTCCCCTTTTTTTGTTTAGTTCCATAATTTGAATATTATAGGTGTGTTAACTCAACAAAATATTCTAAAACAGTCCAGTAGTCCATAATAGTATTGGGTCTTCTGCTTCACTGGTGGCATTAAATTTCTAGTAGAATTCAGGTGTGAATACATCAGGACCTGGTCTTTTTTCTGTCAGTAAAATTTTTTTTATTTCATTTTGAATTTCATTGGATGTTATTGTGTTATTGAGAGTTCTTGTATCTTCTTGATTCAGTTTTGGTAACTTGTACCTTTCAAGGAATCTGTCCATTTCTTCTGTGTCTTTAATTCTGAGACAGTAAAGATTTTCAAAGTAGCTATTGATGATTTGAAATTCCACTGGGTCTATGGTAATTTTGCCCTTCTCATTCCTTATTGCTTAAATTTGTTTCTTCTTCCGTATTTTTATGAGGTTAGCTAGGGGCTTATCAAATTTATTTAGTCTTTCAAAGAACTAGGCTTTTGATTCTTTGCTTCTTTTTTTTTTCCAAAATTTTATTGATAAACAGCAATGAGACAGTTTCAAATCAAATCGGAAGTACAG